TTCCCCAAAAGGGGGGGGGGCCCGGGCCCCCGCCCCCCCCCCCCCCACTTCCGCCGGCCATGATCCTACATGTGTTTTTTTGTGTTTTTTTTAAATTAACTCATTTTCTTGCTGATTACTTCCAAATCTCATAATTGTCATGACGCCTTTGTGCCACGCACTTGATTTAATGTGCATGTTACAAATCCCACATGCACACATTCATAGCCATATATATTCAGAGACAATAACACAACACCGCATTCAAACAACGAACACGTCGGAGTTAACACGTTATTACATATGTTGCATTTTCACATGCAAGAGGGTACTGTACTCCAATGTAGGCCTATTATCAAAAATGGACAATTCCTCACAAGGACTATTTGGCAGAGACACTAGCGCAAAACATTATCTACAAAGAGGTCCTTTAGAAAAAATAATGAAAAGGTAACTATAACATCCTCAGTGATTACCTCCTCAATTTCCTATAACATTTAACTATATGCCTCGCCCACTTTTTACCCTTAGCACTGTGCGGAGCACGTGTATGTGCTAGTTACCACTATAGAACACGTCGTATGGATGGCTTGGTCGGTTTAACCGCCGTCAATGCGAAGATTTCATGCGATGGTTCTAATGATAGGGCGTAAGTTTGAATCGCGTCTTGTAATGAATAGTTAATTTTCATACATTTTAATTTTTTTGAAATTATTTAATTTCATTATTTAAAAAAATTATTAAAAAATACTCTTATTATGAGCAGCACTAAAAGTATAAGGCTGATTGATTAATTAATTAATTCATTTTTCGTTTGTGAAGTGTGCCACCAATATCAAGGACTGTACATACTGCCATTACGAGTAAACGAACATGTCGTATACTAGATGGCGTGGTCGATTAATGATGTATTCTATTGAACCAAATGTTGTGAGTTCGAATTGCATCTTGATATTGAAATTCAATATTTGATTTTTTTTTCTTTTAATTTAATTTTAATATATTTTAATTTTGTACAAGTGAACAATCTAATTATTTGAACATTTCTATCTTATTAGCTCTTCGATAGGCCTATTTGTTTGTCGAACAGCTCTCAAATATCTTAGAATGTTAATTTATACAAAAACAAAACAAAACAAATATCTTAGAATGTTAATTTATACAAAAAAAAAAAAAAAAATTAAAAAAAAAAAAAAATAAACACCGAGGCGCTATTCGAACTCACGACCTTCAGTTCCTACCAACACAGCGTTAATAACCGAACGTGTCATTTATACGACGTGACCTGTTAATGGTAGTAATGAATGGCAATTGTGAACCCCTTTTCAGCTGCGATGAGGAGCCATTGACGTATCCAAGGGGAGACGTGGGAGCCGCGGCTCCCCCTCTTTGTAAACAGTGTTAGAACTTTAAAGCTTGTTCTTGCAAGGAAAAAATACAAATTCTTTCCATTGATCACTAAAAATGAATACTTTTAAAATATTTAAATATGCATCAGCACACTTTATAAATATATATATTTTGGTGTTGATTTAAATGCTGTACAATTTCTCCTTCTACTGTAGGTTTGTGACGTGTGCTCTGATAGAAACCCACTATAAACTTTTATCAAAGTCACCCACTAACCTCATAGTAACCCAGTGGAATATTCGTTAGATATTTATCTGCTGAGGGGCCGGTAGGGTGCATAAATTCGTGTTCAGGATGTGATCTGGTATTTTTTTTTTTTTTTTTTTTTTTTTTTGGATAAAGACTGTTTTGAGCAGTGGCGGATTCAAGCCCCCACCCCACCCCCACCTAAATTGTTTTAATAGAAAAAAAAAAAGTTATATCCAAATTTATGTCCGAGAGTGTAATTTCCGACTATCTAGGGGTGCCCTAATCATAAATTGTCTTGCCTCAGCCCTAACCATGGTGGGGCTGAGGTGGGTGGACCCTCAGTCTGTGAAAGTCCCTTTCTTTCAGATTTCTGGATCCGTCATTATTGAGTGATTATAGCAGGCTTACTAATATTATTTATGATGCGTCTATTGCAATTTTCACTTTATCCTCTCAGAACGTTCAGAGCGCGCTACTTCCCAGGGGGCTTAGCCCTCTGGGCCCCACCGAAGTCCTTGACATCCCGGCCAACAGCCAGGGACGTAGCCAGGATTTTGAAAGGGGGAGTCGTTATGCGAGGTACGTAGTACCGGGCGAAAGGTGAGGTGTTCCCCTTCCTACGACTGGGGGACGACTGCGGGGCTGAAATCTGAATCTAAAAATACTAGTAAGCCTAACAATAATTATAATAACTCAATAGTGGCGGATCCAGGAATTCGAAAGAGAGGTGACGCAGGAAGGGACTTTGACAGACGGGAGGATCTACCCACCTCAGCCCCACCATGGTTTTATGATTAGGGCACCTGTAGATGGCCGGAAATTACACTCTCCGACATAAACTTGAACATAATTTTCTTTTTGTCCATAAAAAAAAATTAGGTGAATGCGGTGGTGGGCTGTCTGGTGGGGGGGGGGGGAGGGAACCCTTGAATCTTCTGCTCTCTGCTCTAAACATTCTTTTCTCCAAAATAGTGATAATCACGAAAAATGGGCATGAAAAACCAGATCACATCCTAAAAATAAAATTTATGCACCCTCCCCTCAGTCACTAACACCCACCTCAGACGCACCATGGTTGGGGCTGAGGTGCGAAAATTTGAGGAAGTACTTCTAGATGGCCAGAAAATTCATCATCATCACATCACCATTATATAAAGCTCCAACAAATTTCTCATGACCTTTTATCACAACCTTTTTCGGCAACCTTGGAGATCTTATTTATATGTGTGATATACCATAGAAAAATAAATCTTATATTGTCTTTGATGTATGTACTTTACATACTTAAAAAGCCGTGATTTTAACAACCGCCTTAGTCGGACCCACCATGATTGGGGCTGAGGTGTGAACATTTAAGGAAATAGTACCTCAGATGGCAGGAAATGACATTTTGATATAGTAAAATTTATCATCATCACATCCCCATATTATTATAGTCAAAACAAAGAGCCAACAAATTTCTCATGATCTTTAATCAGGGATTTTCCTCAACCATAGACATCTACTTAATATATCCAGGAAAACTTAGGCCCAACAATACTAAGCTTTAACTACTATACAAATCACAAGTTTCCTTTTCGCCTTTAGCACAATTTTTAATATTATTAATATTATTATCTATTGTCATAATTACCATCGTCGTCATCATTATTATTATTAATTATTATTAATATTACTTCTACTACTAGTAGTAGTATTATTAAACAAAGCTTTATAAATGTTTTCAAAAGGATAGAAACCAAACTGAACCATACAATATCACATTTTTGTATTTTAAAAGACATGGCCTTGGATTTATGGATTTAAAGCGAATTTAAGTTGATATTTATTTTTTTTAATAAGTTTGCTAAATTTACCCCTTGAGCAGTAGCCGTTATAAATCCGAAAATTTTAATTTTTGCATTATCGTGTACAGTGGGTCACTATTGAAGTTTATGATGGGTTTCTTTTGGAGCACGGGTCACAAATCTACAGCAGGAGTCAATTAGAAATTGTATAACAAACACCAAACTATATGTATCACATGCGCTTATGCATATTTACATATTTTAGAGAAGTATTCATTTTGAGTGATCCCAGGAAAGAATTTGTAGGCCTATTTACTAGCAAGAACATGCTTTAAATTTTTAACACTGTTTATTTCATTTCATTTAATTTCCATTTCATTTAGTTTTTATTGTCCAATTTTAAAAAGGAAAGCAGAGCGGAAACAATTCATTGCATATTAAAAAATTTTTTAAATTAAAAAAATTGTACACACAGTAATAATGAAAAATAAAATATGGCATTCAAATACATTAAAATTTGAAAGAATTTAGATTTAAAATTTATATTTCACATAGACCTTCCAGATGCTGTCTCTTATACACATTGCGGCTCCATCCTGAATACGTCCCTGTGAGGAGCTCTAGCAACACACGGCTGATTGAATGTTCGATTGACTGATTGATTGCTTAATTAATTGATCGATAAATAAATCGTTATGGGCGGCCGTTATGGCAAATATGCTCTACTGCTTCTATTATACTGCCCTCATCGGAGCTCTCGAGATTACGAGAACTTGTTCAATTCTGTCGGTTAATCTTACCTATGAAAAAGGTTTTAAACATGGTTGTAAATCTAGTAAATCTGTCGATGACGGGCATGCCTTATTGTGTACAAGTTCTCTTCTACTGATAATAAACAATGTCGGAATATGATTGTTGTTATTAAAAAGTTTGGCCACTTCGCCAAGGGCAGGAAAAGGGTAGAACGAGTCAGAACACACAGACGGACACTACTGCTAGAGTATATGGCAAAACAAACGTGTTTATTAACTGATACCAACAAGGTAACCAACAGCAACTAACAGCAAAAAAGGAAGAGAGCGACTTGCGCACGACGAACAGTAAGATCTAAAGGGTGTTTGGGAGAGCCATAATGGTAGATGTCATCGCCTACGATAACCTGACACTTAGAAGGGCGAATGGACACATCATTAACCTCCATAAAGGGAGTCCCGCCCAACACATCAACATCTAGCTTCTCGAGGACAAGGCTTTCGAACAGCAAATATTTCCCATTCCGTGAAAACTGTAGAGAAGTTTCCCCAACTACCTTAAGAGGGGACGAGCCATCAGCCTGGTGTGCACACTGGGAAGACTCCTTAATAACTACCCCTAAGGCAGTAGCTGCAGAAAGGGAAATCATGTTGCCGGTGGCACCACTATCAATAGTGATACGTGCGGTATGATGGTCATGGAATACGTCAATGCATGGGGACTGGCGTACCTGGACACGCATGGTGGTGACAGGAGGCATTTAGTTAATTGGCACTGAATCAATGTTTTCATCACTGTCATCATCGGCGATAACCTGTCTAGATTTAATTATGTATCTGCGATCAGATTCAGGCAGAAAGGGACACTCACTCAGGAAGTGTTGGTCAGGGCGACCACCCTGTTTGCATAGGGGCATGATCTACGAGTCTGTACTCGGGACTTAAGAGATGGCTGAGGACGTGGTGGAGGAACTGATGTAGAGAACGACATGCGAGGACAAGAGGCAGCTGCACGCATTACGCGAGTGTCCTCTGAAGAGCGAATTTCCTCCAAGAGGGAGTCTAATGCCTGAGAGATTTCCGGTTTAATGGATGCCAAAGTGCGAACACACAACTCGGTACCATACCGCTGTTTAACCAGACGGGGTGAGTCTTTATGGATGAGGGAGAGCTATGTGAGAACGATCCTATTTTCAAGAGAAGGAGATAGTTCTTCATCCTCGGTGATCGGTTCACCATGATGTGAAATTCCACCATTACGACGCAACAAATTATCATCAATAAACGCGTTAAGGCGTTGATACAAATCCTCAGGGCGTTCATCTGGTTCTAAAGATATACTAGCCAAGTCGATAAAGTGGGCACCGGTGGACTGAAAACCATAGTGAAGACAGATCATTTGCCAAATGTGGGGGAGAGAAATAGAAGTCCTAATAATGGTATTTCACGATATGACAGGACACAGGGGCGGATCCAGAAATGTCTAAAAGGGGGGGCCGGAAGGGGGGCCGAAAGTTGGGCCGATTGAGACAACACTGCCGTAGGGGGTCCGGGGGCATTCCCCCGCCAAATTTTTGTGTTCTAGACGCCCGAACATAACATTTGAGGCATTCTTGGCCATCATTTTTTCCTTTTTCTCTCTTTTTTTTCTTTTTTTTTTTTCTTTTTTTACCTCCCAAAAGGAGGGGCCGGGGCCGGGCCGGCCCCCCCCTAAATCCGCCCCTGGGACAGTAATTCGCAATCTGTCCTAGCATAAGCTCTAACATGCTTAGCTTATGTTGAGCCGTACGGCGAAGGTCTTCGGGAATGTCATTCCCATCGTCTATAAAATCACGCATGGGAACCGTTCGAGTGTGTGGCCTTCATGTAGTACCAGCAGTCAGAAATCTAGCAAAATTTGGATCTAATGACAAGGTGTATTGGAGGTTCTGTCTCCAATTCTCAAAGGAATTGATAGTTTCTGATTTGGTAAGGCTCCACTGTTTCGGAGCTCGTTGTAAAGTCGTAATTTTTCATTTTTGTCAAAAAGTGTCTATAGCAGTGAATTATGGTTTAGGTTTTTTTTTTAATAAAGTTTCAAAAATTTCTTTGTATGTGGAAAATGTAGTCGATTACCAAAGGTTACAATTTTTATTTTGAAGACTGCATGGTCTAGGAAGTGTACATTTTTTTATGGGGCAAGTTTCCAAGGGCGGGTTTTCTAGGGGCGAGTTGACTGCCAAAGAGTGTTGCGAAAGTACGTGCCAGCGTGTTATTTGATCACAAGTGCGAGAAATCGCAAGTGTGAGCCAGCGAGCCATGACGTCACGACAATAGATACGAGACGTTACTCGAGTTGTGCGAGGTATCGGCTGAGATTTGTGGAGTACAATTCAAAAAAACAACTATAGGTCTAATATGAATTATCAACTATAGGTCTAATAATGAAATATGAATTATTGTGATGTTAAATAGACAATGTTAGCTATAAAAGAGCGACGTTGTTTTTCATTGGGACCCTCGTTCCTTCAAGGCTAGGCCTATACCTGTCTCTTATACACATCTAGATGTGTATAAGAGACAGATACCATCCTAGCTAGTCTAGGCCTAGGCCCTAGAGTAGGATAAGGCTAGCGCGACATGCGGACGTTGGTACGTGTTGGTTAGTCTACAAATGTCGCCTAAAGTAATTGATTTTGCAGAACGAAAGAAGGAAACTCCGCTTTTCAGTCGTCTTAGGCCCTTGTTTTTTGACAAACAGACAAACAATGACCTTTCAGAGGTCGAATTGCTGTCAAGAATATGAATTGGCTGCTTCGCAGCAACTACTGAAACTAATATTAACGAGCCTAGCTAGCCTGAACTTCGGCCTAACTTTTCGGATACTTAGGTACCGTGAGGAGTGAATTCGTATCCAGCTGATGCCACCACGCCAAGGGCAGGAAAAGGTTAGAATGAGTCAGATCACAGACGGACACTACTGCTAGAGTACATAGCAAAACAAACGTGTTTATTAACTGATACCAACAAGATAACAAACAGCAGCAACGAACAGCAAAAAAGGAAGAGAGCGATAAAGTCACACTCGCCGATAGAGGGCGAGTTGTGCTACTGGATTGCAGATTTGTTTTATTTTGCTATAGTACCTTAAAATTAATTTTGCAAATTATTACATTTTCTCAAAAGCGTAAATCTATATTCACCCACGTAGCCTAATAAATCACGTGGCCATTAGGGCTACTCAAAGCACTATCAGTAGAATACTAGTACTATTTACAATACACTGCTGTTCACTGGTTTAACTAAAAATTCTACACATTATCATGCTTTGAATAAATTAAGTAGATTGTTGATGTGAGAATAAAATGATTATTATTTTAAGGCAGACAAAATGTCAAAGAATGTCTTACACGCAGTGAGCAGCAGTTATGGCCCACTGTTCGCTGATTAAAGATGCACCACAGATGTGTCTACCATTGCTCTGACACGAAAGCATCCACGGCCATTCTCCTGGATATGAATCTTCACCACCAACAATACGGGAACTGCTTACTTGAATTTGTTGCATTCCACATACAGAAACAGATGCTAAAATAATGGTTTATCAAACAGTTACTTTCAAAATAGAGGGTGAATATTCTGAATAATTAACAAGCTAATTCAAACAAAATACAGTATACAGTATCTGGTAATAGTTTGTATTTCCCATTATCTCTCCCATACAAAACTGTTATGTTAATGCGTTAAACATATATGATATTAATAAAGTACAAACAGACATGCACCGTCTTTTCAACCCTATGCTTCTCATATCATACAAAGAATTTCTTCGAAAAAAAAAATCACAATTATAACACTCGTAAAGCCGAAGACTATTCTCTCTCCACTAATTGCTAATTTAATCTTATACGCCAATTCAAATGGATATTTATATTATACGCCAGTTCAATTAGATATTCTGGTACAAAGCTTTGGAACTCCCTTGATGAAAAAAAAACAACTCAAAATTCACCCTCAACTAAGGCTACGTTCAGACCTGTGAGATACGCCAGGCGTATCTAACGCCAGGCGTACGTTAATCCATGGCGTATCTAGCGAGATGTCCAGACTGGGCGATTAATGAACGCTAGCGTAAGTATTCGCGCGAAATATTCGTATTCGTAATTCGCGCATTTTATTTTCTGTTTACATCTAGGTTTATTTTTGATTGGTCAAATCTTGGCGGAGTTCAAAATCACCGATGCGTGACTGTCGTAAATCAGTGGCGTACGCTAATCTGGGGTCTGTTGCTGGATTACCGTACGCCAGTGATTGCGCGATAATACTGGCGTTCGCTACGCCGCGCACAAGTTCACACACTCGATTAACGTTACGCTAGCGTAAGTCGTTGTGTCTGAACATAGCCTAAAGCCGGTTTTCCATTAGGCGAATTTATTCGCGCGAATCGAAAGTGTCGGTTTATGCGCACGTACGCGCATTCACGTTTCGATCGGAGATTTCGCGCGAATAAATTCGCCTAGTGGGAAATCAGCTTAAGAGCTTTAATCTCACACTTTTAAAGATGCTTTTAAATTCCTATAACCAGTGTATTGTCTTCACTTTTACTCCACTTGACTAGTCATTTCCTGAAATTAACATTTTTCTACTCTTTTTCATCCCTGTCCGTTATTTTCTCCTTTTGGGCTTCATCACTCACTTTGGCTGCACTTTGAAGGACTCAATCTTTCGAGACGAATAGGGGATTATCCCGGTGTTGTGGTCCATACAGTCCCTGTTGTGGACAGGCGAGGGCAGCTGGTACCGGTTACCAGGTAGCACAGACACGAAGAGCCCCTTAGGGGAGAAGCAATTTACTGGGTCGTTGCTAAATACAACGGGTTCAGCCGAGGGGGCGTGGCTTGTAAGAGCTTGTCCACACCTCGAGCTTTGAAACCGTTTCGGTATGAAGCGATATATAAATCCAACTACATTACAATAAATATAATACTAGGTCTATTACTCTTCATTATCATCATTATAATCAATTTATTTATCTGTATCCATAGTATAATCATTTTAGTTATCTTCACCACTTCAGTTATTCCTTCTGGAAAAAATTATGATACATATTCATACATGAAAATCGGTCACTGTGTCGACATCATTCTGCAAAAAGGAATACTGAGTGTTATAAATATACAGTACTTACAATTGTAGCAACCCAACTCATCCGACCAGTCACCACAATTGTTAACTTGGTCACAACCAACCTCATTACTTAGGCACACGCCAGTCAGGCATCTAGTCCCATTACAGTCTGAAAATATAAAAAAAAATATGTAGGCCTACATAAAGACAAATATAAAGGAATAATTATACCAATAGACCTGGGTCTGTTTAGATGTCACCTTAAAAAAGGAGGTTTACGACGTGGTCAGCTATTTTTCAAATTTTCTTCAGTTGCACATAAAGATGTTACAAAATTTAATTGAATTTTGCTTTGCCTCCTACCAGAGAGACTGGTTAGGATTACAATTTGATTTTAGTTGATAATAATAATAATGATAATCTGCAGGTGTGTGTGTGTTGGGGGGTGGGGGTGTCAGTTTTCTTTAATAACATAAACCGCGACGGTGAAGCATTATACTGTATAACTATCTAGACAATAATAAAAAATATTACGGCTTGACGAATAATATACTCTCGTAAATTAATTTCATTGTTGCTTTTTCTATATATATTTTATGGGGATTTCATATCACTATTATTTCATTTCTTTTTTTTTTTCAATTGTTTTCTAATTTTCGTCTAACAAATAACACATTAACAAGTAAACATAAATACTTAACACAAACAGTAACAATCAAGAGGGACGAGCCCACCATGGCTGACTACTGTAATGCCTTTAGTATATTATAATAGAGTACCTGCATTTTTCATTCTCATTTATAATTTAATTTCCCACCATGAACAATTCGATGTAACAAATTTTATATACGGTACTATTATAATATATATTTTTTCCAGTGAAAATGTTATTGTATAAATTCAAACTAATAATGTTTTCATAATTTTCTATTTTACATGTAAATACTCAATCTGTGTAAAACCATGAATATTTAAATTCTAATATTATGTAAATAATGCTGTAACATAATATTTTTTCATCTTTTTTGATATATATATATATATATATATATATATATATATATATATATATATATATATTCTTTAAAGATATATTACCACATTTGTGAAGTTGTTTTATTTTATCTATTATCAATTAAATGATATTTAGCATTAAGAGAGTATTTCAAGTCTCTTTCGTTATTCCTATAACTATTGAACGGCAGTAACCCATTTTTACAATGCAATGACATAATTCAAATCTCTTTAATCTACAAAATCAACTTGTTTTTACGAGGCATTGCAATACGTCTTTCATCAAAGTAACCTTACTGTATCATTTACAATGGCTAACACAATAATTTAGGCCAGCATACATTCTTTCTAAATATACACTTTTTCTGAATAATGTATTTCCATAATGCATTTCTGCAGCAAAAAGAAAAGTTACGAAAGTGGTTTTCAATATATTGACTTAAGACAACGGCGGAGGAAGCGGGTGGGG